CCATTTATATTTTTATAAGCAAATGAAAAATGCAGGGCATGTCAATACTTCTCCAGGGCCCCGAAACACCCTCAGATCCCAGAGGCCCCAGGACCCACAGTACTTGGTTGCTCAGACAACTGGCTGCTCAGCTGTTCCATGACCATGTGTGTTATTCTTTCATTATTACACTTACAAGTAAGCAGATGACAGGTCTAGAATTAATTTCAAGTGTGGCATTTGCATTTGGAATCTGTTTCTGTTAACTCTCAATATGAATTCCAAAGAACTGCCAGTGAAGCAAGCCATCATTAGGCTGAAAAATCAAAATGAACCTGTCAGAGAGAAAGCAAAAACCTAGGTCTGGCCAAAGCAACTTTGCTACATTCTTAAAAAGAAAAAAATGCACTGCTGAGTTCAAGAACAGCAAAAAGCCCCGAAGCCAATAGAAATCAACTGTGGTCGATTACAAAAGAATTCTCTCCCTGATGAAGAAAAACCCCTTCACAACAGACCTGCCAGCTAAAGAACAGCATACAGCAGTTAAGTGTATCTGTGTCAACAATCAGGAGAAGACTTCAGCACAGTAACTCTGCATAGGCATGTATGGCTGCCTTGTTTTTCTTGATGATGTGACTGCTGACAAAAGCAGCAGGATTAATTCTGACATGTATAGGGCTATATTATTTCAGATTCAGCCAAATGCTTCAAAACCCGTCGGACAGCACTCAGTGTGAGGCTATCACGCATAGCATCTGTAGAATTTTTATAGTAACCCTGTAATAGGCAGTTGAAAGTGGACAATACACAGTCATCCAGCATACAGGCTAGCAGCTCGGTTTGAGTGGTTATAGACATACTTTTGTTTGGGTGCTCGGATGTCCCTGATTTCCGGACACAGTCCCCGGTTTTGGGATTTTGGCACCTGCTGTGCATTCAAAACCACCCCAATGAACTCTTGTAAGTGAGAAGAAAGACAAAACTGCTATAATGAGCAGCCCCCTCTGTTGCCCAAAGTAGTAATAACACAATAGGTGCACGTCAACCTCTGCTGTTCTATCATCTTCTCACACTAATTGACCTCTACTACTTGCTCGAATCTTAAAAAAAAAAAAAATAAAATGTCACAACTGTAGGATAGGTTAACCCTTTTCAGCTTTTTCAATGCATCAGTTTATTTACTGTGGACTAAACTATTAATCATCTCATTCATCTCATCTCACTCTTCATTCTCTCTCATGTTTTTCAATCATCTTTTGTCCAATTTGGCACTTTATTCAGAGAAGTATGCCAATTCGGTTGGCGTAAGTATTATGGTAATTGTCTCATAATAATCTAATATGCTATTATGTTATGATGTACTTCTATGGGGTTTTTTTTGGTTGCTGTTCCTGCTTTTATTCTAGCCTGACATCCAGGACCCTGAGGACCCCCAGAAACCTTGAATTCTACCTACACACCTATATCAGTGTTTCTGTATATAGAATTATTTTTTGCATCTTATTGTGAATGGGAAGATAATTAAATGCACTTTACTGGACCATTGTAGTTTGACAATTTTATTGTATTCCATAGTTTACTTAAACATCACTCACCATCGCACTGTAAACTATGATTTTCTGACACTGTTTATGTTACCAGTTAAATTACAGGGACCAGAATTGTCCCCTTTTTTTTTTTAACATCATAGATATTACCATTGGGTATTTTAATGATATATGCCTGCCAAATGAAACAATGTCCCTGGATTTCATTTCAGAAATCTGGTCAACTTAACTTTTGTTCAACTGTGTTCAATACAGCAGGTGTGTTTACTGTGAGCACCTTGCTGGTGACAGAAGAGCTAATATCATCAGCCAGAGTTTACAGGTTTCAGCTAAATTTCCAGTCCATCTACATCTCAAAAGGCATGCAAAAGACCATCTCTAAAAATTCAGGCATTGGAAAAGCCCCTTTTTTCTTCTTTTTTCTGGTTCTTTGCATGGGAAACAAGGTCACAGTGGTTTGTGTACATTTCTGATGTGATATATTATGAATATATGTCGCTCTATCACTATATCGCTCTCTGTGCTGACCTTGTGACATCTTTTGTTCTTCTTCTGTTTTGTTCTAATAAACGTTTAGAGAACGTACACTCCGTGAAACACGTCAACCACCACTTCTATTCTCTGCTGATGCCTTTGTCTCTGCAGATATTGCATATAGACAACTCAGAATACTACACCTTTTTTTGTATAAATACTCCCTGTCTGCCTCAGTAGACTTTGAAGAGCTTTGCTACTCAGACACTGACTTTGTGTGTTTCTTTGGCAATCTCTTCCCCGGCCTGTACAGAGGTTGTGGCAGCAGCGTGAACACAGACTTCTTCCTGATTCTAGATTTGATAGGAAAATCTATCAGCTCTCTGGGGGCTCGTCCGGGATAACCAGGTGGAGATAAGAATTTTCTGTTACGTAGACCTACCTCCATGTGGTTATCCCATGTTATCTCAGTTAGGATTACACACATTTCATAATCTTAATTTGTCAGGGTAATTCTGTTTAGAATTATTGGCACATGAATCGTGTAAGGAATAACTAAAAGCAGTTGATTGTGATCCTCGCTAAGTTGTAGTGAGAGAGTTATGCACGCTCTGCCGGGAGGTTGTGTTATTCACTAAGTTGTAGTGAGAGGGTTATCCCTGCTTCGCCAGGAGGTTGTGCGCACCTACATAGTCTACAGTTCATGCGGCCCAAACTCCTCTGACCGTATTGTCTTTGTGTATTGTAACAATGGGTGGAAGTGGCCAGTCTAAGCAAACTCCCAATGATTGGATGTATAATCGTGGTTATGGTATTTTCGTCCAACCTTTCGTCGATATTTTGGCAGGTTGGACTGAGAGAGAGAAACAGTGGTGTCCCTTTACTAGAGAAGGGTCCTTTGAAGACGATTTAAACTCAGCTCAATGATTTAAACTTAAATTCATATATTAACTCTGTGGCAGTAGATGGGGTTCCTGTCACTTGCCCTAAAACATTCTCACTTAAAAATACTAGTCCAGATGATCCACAAATTCTCTTTTATCACAGATTCGTTGTCATTCCTTCCTTGCTGTTCAATCTGTTGGGCTGTGATGTTTTGGCTAAGTTGGACTGTTGCTTATCTTTTGAAGGAGGACGTCTTGTTCTCCGTACTCCACGTAATCTGTTTTTCTTCCGTCGTGTGTGTCTGAAGCCTGCGGTGACCTCGTCATACCCACCGAGTTTTCTGAGGTTCCAGCCAAACTGTGGGCTGCGCACTCCAACGAAGTAGGCCATGTACAGGTACCACCGTAATCTCCATTCGTCAACCACTGTGTATTGTAAACAATATCCTTTTTCTGTGGAGAAAAAGGGTTCATTGGTTCATTGACTCACCGGCTGTGTTCTCATCCGTGGTTCGTTCCTCGTTGTCGTCACTCATCCTGCCAGAGGGCTGTTCTCTCCTGCTATACGCAGATGATATTCTGCTTGCAGAGAAAGATGCAGATTGCTGTAGAAGAGGCTCCTTTGTCCTCCTCACATACCTGGCCAAGTGTGGTTTCAAGGCCTCGCTCTCTAAACTCTGATTCTGTCAGCCTCTGGTACGGTATCTGCTGTTTCTCATTTCTCAAGGTCAGCGCAAACTCTCATCTGATCGTCTGAGAGTCATACTGCAGGTCCATCCACCCAAAACAAAGAAAGGTATGCTCAGTTTTCTGGGACTGATTAATTACTGCCTCCAGTAAATACCTGTCTGTTCACATCACGACAAGCTGTTGTGCCAGTGCTGCCTCAAAGACATGCCTGATGATATTGAATGGACTAAGGAAATGATGAACTATTTCTGTTACCTCAAACAGTCTTTGAGCTCTGCCCCAGCCATAGGTCTACCTGACTACAACATTCTGTTTCATCTCTATGTCACAGAGGACGTGGGGCACAGCCGTGGGAGTCTTGGCCCAAGAGGCCGGCAGTGGTCATCGTCCAGTAGCATACCTTTCTAAATCTCTTGAGCCTGTGGCCCAAAGTATGCCCGCATGTTTGCATTCAGTTGCTGCCTCTGCTCTACAGGCCTCTGATGCATGAAAGAGTTGTCCTTTCGCACACACTCACACTGCATGCACCACATCAGGAAGTCAGCATTCTTAATAACATTCAGACACAACATATGACTGCACAGCGTCGTTCAGGTTACGAAGCCATGCTGTTCTGCTGCACCGCCTCGTGTGCTCCTGTTCAGAGGAACAGGCCACCGACGGCTGGTTGGAGCAAGACTGCCTTACTGAGATTTCAAAATCATCATCTCTGCGCACAGATCTTTCACAACACCCATTGGAGGGCGGTGTCCACATATTTGTAGATGGCTGATGTTCTAAACCCAATGACAATACCACTTTATGTGGCTATGTAGTCTGCTCTTTGCCTAATGTTGTACACGAAGCTCACTTGATCCCTTTCCTTTCAGCTCAAGCTGCTAAGCTTGTAGCTCTGACAAGGGCATGCTCTCTTTCTAAAGACCAAGTGGTAACTATTTATACTGATTCGCGATATACTTTTGGTGTAGCTCACGATTTTGGTAAGATTTGGCATGCATGTGGCTTTAAGGCTGCTGATGGTAAGCCCATTTCACATGCCTGCTGGTTTAGAGGCCTCAATGCTACCTAAAAGTCTAGCTATCATTAAGGTCAAGGGTCACGACCCAGGAGATTCTGAAACAGCTCGCAGTAACTCTCTAGCTGATGAAGTAGCTAAACGGGCAGCCAAAGAGGGCACTCCTTCACCTTTTGTGCACAATACAGTTTCTACTTATGAGAGATCAGGTCCTTTCAGCTCTCTTGTTATTCTTTCAGCTGCTCCCCTTAGGGGTCACCACAGCAGCTCATTAGTCTGCTATGGTCTGCTAATTTGACACCGTTTTTACACCGGATGCCCTTCCTGACACAACCCTCCCAATTTTGTCTGGTCTTGGGACCGGCACTGGGAATGCACTGTCTTGTGGCACTGTCCAGTGGCTGGGGTCGGTTCCCTGGCCGGGATTCGAACCCAGGCCACAGCGGTGAGAGCCCCATGGCCTCACCACTAGTCTTCCAGGAATCTTCCTGTCAGCTCTCTAAGTACAATGAAATTGATTGGGTAACTGGTGTATACTGGCATTGCACTGCTAACAAAATCTGCTTTGAGCGGCTTCAAGCAATAAGCTTCAAGCATGTAGCCATCATATTGCATACATCACCCTTTATAATATACATTTTTCCTCAATCCTTTCAAGCATCCCACTCCCTGCTGCTGTAAAAATTATGATGCTACCACAAACATCATCATTTTAGTAACAGAATTAGCCATATATAACGCACACAGTTCAGGCTAGTGTTAGGTCTTGGTTTCACCAGACCACAGATTCTTGTTTCTCATGGTTTGAGAATGCTTTGTGGCAAACTCAAAGTGAGCAGTCATTTTTTTTCCCTGAGGAGCAGCTTCAATTTAATTCGAACTATGTTTCAATCTATGTATGATTAAAAACTGTCCTTCCAGAGTCTGAATAAAAAAAACTTGACAAGGACAACTTTGTCATTGTTGGACTTTGGATAATTAAAATTGTTTATATTATCATGTCTAATTGGTTTTGGTGAGATGTGACATGAAAATATATGCCTTTTCAAATTCTTGTGCATATTTTTTTTTACTGTTCATCAACCCACTAAATGTAAGTGGCAGGAAAAACTAGCAATTTTCCATTTACCTTTCAAAGGTGTTTGCACACAGTAACTAGTTTGTTTTATTTATCACCATAAAAATATCATAAATTCAAAACAAATTCTGGTTAAATGTCATACAACCACAATTAACAAAATGTATCAGTTCTAAATCACACATATCCACCATTTCTACGGAACTTGTGCTTTCAATTTTCAGTTTCAAAGTTTATGCAAATTTTCTATATAGGAACCTTTTAATAATAGCAAATATCAGTTCCTTTAAAACAGCTTTCACAGTAACAGACAAGTATTTATGCAATACATGTGCATTTACATCAACATTTTTTTTGTAGGTCAGCATCATGTCATGCTGAGAGAAAGAGAAAGTGGTCTACTGACAGAAAACACTGCAATCCACACTTCATTCAATGACCATAAGCTATACTTTGTTAACAGTTTAGGTAAGAAATACAAAATGTGTTTATCTAGTAAATTTTTTTAAATAAAATTTTTATTCAGTATGCTGTTAATGGTAAATATAACATGAAAATTGTTTGAAATTGGACAAATGTATGTCTACGTGAGAGGACTTACCTTCAACGTATCTGCCTGACCCTTTCCTAAGAAGACCAGGCCTATAATTAAGATATGTATTGTGGCTGGGTTCTCTTAAATCATCAGTGTGTCTATCTCTGTTTCTATTATTTAATGCTCTTTTACTGTAAGACATTCCATCTTCTTTGCTACTTCCTTGGATGCAACCTCTGGCTTTTTTTCTGGGCTGGGGCTAGGAGTGTTTGGATATTCCCGTGTTCCAAAAATGGTGCTACCAACACGGATGTTAGTGGAGCCTACCTCAATCTGAAAGAAGAATCATACAATGCACAGACATGGCCGTGTTAAATGTTCACAGTGGATGTCTTGAATTCAGAATCACGTTGAAACAACAGAATTTAGGTAATGAGTTTAAAAAAAACAAATGAAATGAGGGAGAAATCTAACAACTCACCGCATGTTCAAAGTCTGTGGACATGCCCATACTGAGTTCAACCTGTTCCAGTGGAAGATTCAGACTCTCACAAACCTCTTCACGGCGCCTTAGCAGAATCTACACACAGTCATTTTTAAACTGAAGAATTTTTTTTTTGTAAACACAGCTTCTTTTCTTTTAACATGGTTACAAACACGTGAACTCCTAACTAATATATATGTGAATCGATATATGATTTTATATATATATATATATATATATATATATATATATATATATATATATATATATATATATATACACACACACACACACATATACACACTTACTGTCCACTTTATTAGGAACACCTGTAGCCTGCACATTCTCACAGTTATCTAATCAGGCAATCATGTGGCAGCAGCACAATGCAAAAATGCAGATACAAGGTCAAGAGCTTCAGCCTCAACTGTCTCTCACTCAATGTTTTTTTTTTTTTTTTTTTTTTTAACCATTTTGTGTAAACTCTAGACAGTGTTGCGTTTGAAATTCCCAAGAGGTCAGTAATTTGTGAAACATCAAACCAGCCAATCTGGCACCAATATCCACGCCACACTTTTTCTTCATTCTGATGTTTGATGTGAACATTAACTGAAGCTCTTGACCTGTATCTGCATGATTTTTCCATTGCACTGCTGCCACATGATTTGCTGATTAGATAACTGCATGAACGTGCAGGTGTACAGGCGTTCTTAATAAAGTGGACAGTGAATGTATGTATGCCTTTGTATATGTTTGTGTGTAAAGTTAGGTATATTGTCATGGAAAGCGATTTTGTACTCTTTATAATCTGAAACTGGTCCATAATTTCAAATGATGAAGGTTACACAATACACAAGGACTTTTATGCGGATACCTGCTGAGAATTCTAGGACTTTGAGAAGAGAAAATAAAAGTCCAACTAGGAAGTTGGACAAGGGGGGAGAGCGAAGCTGGATACAGGTGAATGGTGGCTTTGTTGGAGAGATAAGTGGTGGGTTTTGTTTGTACTACTGGTGGCATGTGGATTTATGAATGAAACCAAATGCAGTAGTTGACTCGCACTGTATGTGGTGAATGGCAATGAAGAAAGCTGGCGACTGCAACACTTTGATCTCTCTGCATCCTGCAAAGTGAACAGAAACTGCTAAATTGCAAGGTTGTCATTATAACAATGTCCTTAGGGATCACGGCGTTGGACCTCCAACCACGTTGGAGTTTTCAAAGGATCCCTCCTCTCTCATCCCACACACAAGGTTTTCCATTTACGTACACCACATGAACTTTGTGTTCCTTTTTGTTTTGCTTTCATATTGTTTGTCCTTTGCTCATTATTGTTTCATTTGAGTTTGTTGTGGTTGGCAAATTAAATGGTCATCATTCGACGGTGGAGTGGTTGGCTGCTTTATGTCCCAGGGTGCCCTCATGTCTGTGTTAGCTTCTGGCTCTCCCTTTTAGTTATGCTGTCATAGCTAGTCTTGCCGGAGTCCCTGCTTGCACTCTGCATGCAAAGTACATTGTCCTTAACCATTAGAGGACAAAAGCTTACCTAACAATCTCTCCATCTCTCTCTCTCCCTCACTCTTGGTCGAGCTACACATGCTACTTCTGAGATGCCAGTGATCCTGACCCCTTCTGCTCCTCCTCGCTGTCTGACCCATCCTGATGCCCCTTCTGCTCCTCCTCGCTGCTTGACCCATCCTGATGCCCTACTTCTGGTTGGAGTTCTCATCGGTTGAGTTTGAGTTTGCTGGGGATAGTGCCACCTGGGGGCTGTGGAAATGGCTTGGGGATCACATATGGGGAGCTGTACTGTAATGGCTTGGGACTGCGATTGCTGTAGTAGCTTTGGGGCTGCAGTTGCCACGAGCACCTTCGTACTCAGGACTTCATCAGTGGACAACGGATAGCTTTTAACCAACTGGACTTCTTGCAAAAACTGTGATGAATTGATTGGTTGCACAATTACATTATTTGTCCATATAGTACACAATAATAAAAGGGGTTTATTTTATAATTGCACTATCCATTGCACCCAGATGAGGATGGGTTCCCTTTTGAGTCTGGTTCCTCTCAAGGTTTCTTCCACATATCATCTCAGGGAGTTTTTCCTTGCCACCGTCGCCACTGGCTTGCTCATTAGGGATAAATTCACAGGGATAAATTCACATATTTACAATATATTTTTTTGTGAATCCATTTATTTCTGTAAAGCTGCTTTGTGACAATGTCCATTGTTAAAAGCGCTATACAAATAAAATTGAATTGAATTGAATTATGAATTGCCTTGCCTGTGAAGTGCACGGTAGCATTGAACTGAGGTGAAAGTGTTATATTTGGTGGCATGTACTGGAATCTATAGGGTAGAAAGTTTAATGGCCAATAAGCAGTCATACCATGGAATGCTAAAACTATTATTATAATTAAATATAAATAAAAGAGAAAAATAATCCCTACAGATTTCTCACTCCCACCCTTGACATTGCTTAGCACCCTTTCTTATAACATGTATAATATTACATTACATTGGGATTGCTGGGGATGGTGCCACTTGGGGGCCATGGAGATGGCTTGGATATGGGAAATTGTACTGTGATGGCTTGGGACTGTGATTGCTGTGGTGGCTTTGGGGCTACGGTTGCCAGGAGCAGTTTTGCACTCAGGTCTCCATCAGTGGACAGTGGATAGTTTCAACAACCCAGACTTCATGTGAAAACTGTAATTGAATTCACTGGTTGCACAATTGCACTATTTGTCCATGTAGTACAGTTACAAAAGGGATTTATTTATAATTGCCATATCTATCATCACCCAGATGAGTATGGGTTCCCTTTTGTGTCTGGTTCCTCTCAAGGTTTCGTCTCAGGGAGTTTTTCCTTGCCACCTTCACCTTTATTTTGATTTAATGTAATTCAAATGTTTTTATTTCTGTAAAGCTTCTTTGTGTCAATGTCCATTATTAAAAGCACTATACTAATAAAACTGAATTGAATTCAATATATTTGTACATATAGTTAGGTCCGGATGTATTTGGACAATGACAGATTTTGTGATTTTGCCTTTCTACACCACCACAATGGATTTGAGAAAAAAAAAAACAATCAAGATGTGATTGAAGTGTAGACTTTCAGCTTTATTTTAAGACATCCCACAGAAATATGGCATTCACCATTTAGGAATTACAGCCATTAATTACATTTTAGGAATTACAGCACAAAGTACCTCCATTTTCAGGGGCTCAAAGGTATTTGGACAAAGTGACATAATATGTAAATATAACCATAATTTTAATACTTGGATGAAAATCCTTTGCAGTCAATGACTGCCTGAAGTCTGGAGTTTCCTCCCTGGAGATGCTTTGCCAGGCCTTCACTGCAGCCACCTTCAGC